AAAATATCGATGTATGTACAATCAAACGAAAAAATTATCTTATTTTTTTTCTTTTTCTCATAGGTTTTTTTCGACAAATAACATCACCAAATGTAATTGCATCACAAATTAAATTAACCGAGCTTTTTCAAATACTTCTCAAAGTAATTCGAATAAAAAATTTCATCGAAATTCTATATTTCATTTTATTTTAGTTACCTAATTATTTTGATGATGTCGATTCATTTTATATGGATAATATACCTGCTTGTGTTCAAAGTTGTCTTGATCATGTAAGAATAAATCTTATCAAAGTTCGTAATTAGGGATGAATTTAAGATCAACATAGTTCTAGTTCGAAGCAGATATTTTGAATAGTTCTTCTAAGATTTTCTTTTTTGTCATTTAGTAATAAAATATGTATATCAAGTGAGCTGAATTTTTATAAAAAAAGCTGCTATAGATAAACGAGAAATAAGTAATGTTGCATGTATATTATTTCTAACGTATAAAATTACAAAATAATTTCTTTGTTTTTCTTTCTCTAATAATTTGTTATATAAATAAAATGACTAATATTTTCATTGAAATAATTTCGAAGGTATAAGATTTTGGAAATTGTTTGTTTTTTGTATAGACACATGATGGTATTATTCGTGAAGATATATTTGTTAGTTGGATGGGTCGTGAACCACAAACATTAGTATGGTTACCAACATTACATCGTTTAATGGCAACTGAATCAAGTATGTATCGAATTATCTTAGTTTTTAAATTTAATAAAATTGACTTATTTTTAGTTCGTCATGAAGCACAATGTAATACTTGTAAAGCATATCCAGTTGTTGGCATGCGGTAAAATAGAATAATTTCTATTTATTTATTTCTGTTTGTTTGTTGTAAATAGTTATCGATGTCTTCGATGTTTTAATTATGATCTGTGTCAAACATGTTTTTTTACAGGTGATCATGCAAGTAAACATGATGGATCTCATCCAATTGAAGAATATTGTAAACAAGTATGATTAAAAAAAGTAACATAAAAAAATAGATGCATATATATTTTCAATAGGTTACACCATTTGAAGATTTGAAAGCATTCTTTGAATTTATTAAACTTAAAGTTGGTAAAAATGAACTTAAGCGTAAAGAACGTTATCTTACTATTGATCGATCAAAATCATTGTAAAATATTTTTTGTATATGTAAAATACTAGATAACATCTTTTCTTTTTAAAGTAGTACTGATGCACCAATTCATCAGTCCGATCAGTTGTTATCCACTAAACATCATTCATTAAATCGTCAAGATCAAAAAACTAAAAAAGTAAGATTTTTATTATTTATTTTTGCTTTTTTTTTAAAAATAAAAAATCTTTTAGACTCAATCACAAGATGTTTTTCGTCCCATAACAAAAACTGAAACAAATCAATCATTATCAGATAATGAAGAACAAACTCCATTAGCTGGTTATGATAATGTTCCAATCGATGAAAAAAAGAAATTTAAAAAAACTGAAATTTCATCAAATAATACACAAAAGAAAAATAATTATGTAAATGTAGACGAAAACACCATTTCATCACCTAATAAAATACAAATACCAGATGATGATGTACCAATGCTTATGCCTAAACAACATAAACCAATGAATAAAGCTTCATTAACAAAAAAATATACAGATGATCATTACCAATTACCATCTAAGGAAGAAGATGATGATGAATATCGACCACCATTACCACCAAAATTACGTCATCAAAACAATACGTCTCATGCACTTGTTTATGATTTTATTGGTAGTGAATTGCAAGAATTACGTGCAACTCTTGCTCAATTCGATGGTAATTCATCAGGTATGTTAAATATCAGTAGAGCGCCGTTGGTCGAATGACATTTCGTCGAAAAATAATTTGTCGACAGTTACTAGAATAGTAAGTGTTATTGTTCTAGTAACTTTCTAAGAAAGGTCATTCGGCCAACAGCTACTTCCCCTTAAATATTTATTAAATTTTCTTTAAATAATTATTTTTGTTTTAGTTGCGTAATCAATTTTTGTATAATCCATATTTTATTGATTTTAATACAGTACCTTGCAGAATTTTAGAATAAATAAAATACATTATTGTATCTTTTAGTTTTGTATAGTTTTTCTTTTCTTTTTAAATTACTGTTTTATTGGATCTCGTTTTTTTTTATGCAATTATATTGTGCATGTTGTTGTGCTGCTGCTGTGACGATCTTAGCAATTTTTTTTGAGTGAATTATGGTTTCGTTTTTTTTTTATATATCGAGTTTTGTTTTGCTTTTTTGAACCTAAATGAATATGGTCAGATAATTTTTGCCATATATTCTCTAATGAACAGACTAATCATTAATAATAAATTGTTTTTTTCTCTCTTTTAAATTGTAGATGAACGAAGAAAGTCGTCGTATACCAAATGATTTACGTAATTTACGTGCTTGTTTAGTATGTTCATTAATTAAGAATATTACGATGTTCGAAGATCAAGGTTGTGATAATTGTGAAGACTTTTTATCAATGAAGGGTAATCGTGAACGTGTTTATGAATGTACCTCAAGTAATTTTGAAGGCATGATTGCATTAATGCACCAAGAAGAATCATGGGTGGCTAAATGGCAACGTATATCACATCAAGTTAAAGGAATGTATGCTGTTTCAGTTACTGGTACATTACCAAAACGCCTCCAACGTGAAATGGCTCAAAATGGTCGAACATATCGTAGTCGAGATATTAGTTTGAAAACATAAAAAACATTTTTCATTCTCTATATAATTGTATGTTTGTTTAAATAAAAGTAAAAAGAGACTTGTTAATTATATTCAAGAAATATAAGATATTCATTTATTAAGATAATAAAATTTGATTTAATTGGAATAAAATATACAAAAAAAAAGTGTTCATTATTTATTATAATGTCAACTTAAGTTCGAAATTGATATATTTCAACATTTATTTCCGTTGTGTCTAAATTAATAATTGGGTGCGATAGCTACAGGCATTGGTGCAACACGCACTGGTCTTATACATTCAATTAAATGATTCCAAGTAGAATGCCATGCTCGTAAAAATCTAATATCAAGTGCAGCGACTATAAATGGATCAAGTACTATACCAATACAAATAAAAATCTCAGTTATAGTACCCGATGTACTATGTCTGTAATAGAACGGGAACAAAAGTAAATACGGCGACCATAATATTAACCATACAGAATAGAATGCACCTGATTGTATAATTAATTGTCGATGATATTTTAATCGTGCTTCGATTATTTGTTGAGTTCGAATACCATTCGTATTTCGAATATGTCTAAGACTAAGAAAAAGAAAAATTGAGGTAAATACAAGTGGTATGAAATAAGAAAATAATAGAAATAAGATTTGAACAACTGCTGATGTTAATTCAAGATCACATATATCATTTTGTGGTTTAAAGATAACTAACCAATGACATAATATTGCGATAATATAACATAAAATTGGTAAAATATAAATAAGAAAATGACTAATAATAATTGTACGATGTCTTATTACATAAATATCACGATTGTCAGTAATTTGTAAATAACGACAAATATTTAATGCTAAAATAATATAACTTTGTAAAACATTGAGATAATTATCAAAAATTGCTTCATAATAACACATAATAGTACGAAGAAAATGAGGTACACACATTGGTCGTGATTGATAAGCATAGATTATAAAAACACGAATAAGAAGAAGAACATCAATTGCTAAATAAGTATAAAGCCATTGCATTGAACGTTGCCGTACTGTTGGATATGGAATAAGATTCAACCAAAAGAGTAAATGAATAATTGCTGCTACAATATATATGTAAAATAGGGGTTTCATTGTACTAGACACTCGTCCAGACAATACTACAACTATGCAGCTAGTTTCGTTATTCATTTTTCTTATATTATAAGTGCCTCTAATTAATAACGAGAATATTTTTAAATGTTATATAATTTATAAAGCAGAATTTTTCCTTTGATTCTTGAATCATGCGAAAGTTCTCGTGCGTGATGTCTTTTCACATATCTATTTCCGGTATATATTCATTAATATTAATTCTTCTTCTAACAAAAAAAAATTATATATGACTATTGATATTAGCATATGATGATAGTTTAAACTTATAGATGTACATTAATAACATATTCTTATAACATTTAGTTGTTATTTTGTATTTGGTTGGATTATTTCGACTTTCGCTACGATATTGCTGTTGTTACAATGAAATTGAATGCACTAAATTTATCAGAGATAAGATCTCATATATTTTTCAATTTTGTATTAAAATATTCTTTGAAAATGTTTCATTATAATAAACTTAAATATTTCTTAATTTTACACGATAAAAATTCTTAAAAATATCTATAGATCGCTGTAGCTATAAATTATAATAACACCAATATGAAAAATGGTTTTTTATTACCTTTTTTCTTTTTTAAAAGTTACATTTCGACAAATTCAACTCATTTGTCACCTTCAGACTATATTTATTAATACTAGACTCAATGTTTATGTTAATATTGAGTAAATGTGAATTGTATTTTAATTGTCAATATTGATCAGAGGTGTGGGGTGTGGGCGTTGTTCTTATCTTACATCCACACCCACCCTCAAGGATGCAAGTAACTGACAGATCATATATACGACTTTTTCGACATCTGATAGTAACATCTTTGTCACTATTCACGATTTTCTGCATGAACTCATATTACAAAATCACTTTCTATGTTTTGAACTATTCTCTACCACACAGCGATGATGGTTTTTGAAGTAATTGATTTCAAACTCACGTCACTACAGTGATATGTTACATGTACAAGCTGATATATATATATGTGACGTATACAAGGAAAAACGAATAGAGGAGAATGAACAGAAAAAACCACTTGAATGGCAAAGAAAGAAAGAAAATATCATATGATATATACGTAATAAATGAATGCATGAATATCTCATTTATTCGCTTACAACAAGATGAATCAAATCATACGAGATTTACGTTTTAATCGATTTTATTATCAACCTGCAATATGTCCGCAAGATAAGATCGGTACTGATGTACAAACGTAAGTTAGACAAAACAAGATTGTATTATTATTTATATAAATATTATCATTTAGTACTTTGATTGAAAATTTATCTAATGAAATATTTTATATGATATTCGATTATCTTGATGGTTGTCACGTCTATCATGCATTTTTAAATCTTAATGAACGTTTTCAACAACTCGTTAAATCTTCATGTTGTCTACTTAAAATTAGATTTCGTTTAGCATTGTCAAAAAAAAAACATACGAATAAATGGAAACAATATATAGTTTTAAATAAACAACAAATATTTTCGATTCATATGTGGCCTCCATCACGTACAGATCAACTTTGTGCAGAATTTACTATCAACTCAACATTTTCTCGTCTCGAATCACTTGTTCTTGGAGGAATGCCTTCAGACCAAATTATATCACTTCTTATCGAGTTACCTTGTCTACCACGTCTTTTTTCATTAACTATCCGCGATATAAAGGATCGTTTGAAAGATCTAACGAATATTTATCAAATGGTTTTCACTTTACCTTTATTGAAATATTTTAAATACACAACAAATGATGTAGATACATCAACTTCATTGTCACCGGCTACACATAAACAATTTAGTACTATTGAACATATGGTTATGAGCCATTGTTGTACTTTCGAACAACTTTCGAATATCGTATCTTATACACCCCAACTTCGTCGATTATATTTTTCACATGCATACGAAATTGATCTGAGTTATGAAACCACATTACCTGTAACATTACTAAATTTGACATATTTACGTATACGTATTCGTCATCTATTATTTAATGCATTTGAAGCATTTATTAGAGGAATGGATTCCAAATTAAAAGTTTTATATGTTTGTGTGGGTTATGAAGATAGTTCTTATCTTGATAGTGATCGATGGGAAGAATTAATTATAAAATATTTACCTCACTTGGAAAAATTTTCCTTAGTAATTCATGAATATCAGGGACGTGTTTTAAATCCGTCTCCATATATAGAAGAACCAATTCAATTCAATTCATCATTTTGGATCGAGCGACAAACGACAGTTAATACTGAAAACGATGAAGGATTAATTAAGTATTCAATTCAACCACTGAAGTACGTCAATTAAAAAAATAATCTTATATTATATTAACCATTTGATCATTTTTAGAAAACGATGGTATGAAGATACACAAGATAAAATTATTAATTCGTTTGTTAAACATTCTCAATCTAATCAATTCATTCTCGATCTATATACTATTCCTGGTAGAGACAATTATGAAGAACTAATCGAGACAATCAATTATATTTTATTTGTTTCGCTATTTTATCATCTTGAAATTCCCTATGATACGATTTTTACTGGTTTATTAATTCAAATACTTGATGTATTACCTCAACTCATATCACTAAAACTTCTTTCTTTATCATTCAATAAACCAAGAAAATTATCTTTACAAGAAATTGATATTCTTTCTTCAAGAAAAAATACAAGTCAAATTAAATATGTTTATTTGAAGAAGATGATTACAATTGAAGATATTGATTTTCTTATGAAACTTTGTCCTTCGATGGTATATCTCAGAATAGATTATGCATATAAGAACAATGCTGAAAGTTTTGTACGAAATATTTTGAAGAAAATTGATTGTAAATTAAATGAACATCTTCATGTATTGTGTTTTCATATTCCAAGAGCTGATAATGAAATGATAAAAAAATTCGAAAACATGATTGATTCGGAAAAATTACTTATTAATTACACAATTCAACGTGCCGGTGAAAATATTTATTTACAATGGAAATGATTTTTCGTTTTATTCTTTAGTATATTTGATCTAACAGAAATAAACTATCTTTTTTTAAACTAAATTTCGTAATTTTTTCGGTATGACAATGTTCCTCCAACGGAGAATATCATAGAATTTATATATGATAAGCTTATTTTAAAATAAATTTGAATACTTCTCATTTTTCTACATCTAACTGTTGACTTATCTGTCAAAACAACGTTCCAACCAAAGTAATTATAATATCTTTTTGTAGACAACGGCTGCCATTATTACAAAACCAGCATGTTTTATGTTAAGAAATTATATTCATCACAGAAAATATACATTTCTACAAAAAAAAAGTCCGAGTTGAAGTTCGTATTTGTATTGAAAACACTTTTTTATAATAAAAACCTCTGAAATTGAGCATTCACTTTTTTTCTCTCAAATAAAAGCTAAACAGTATGTTTTTTAAGATTTTATTATGACCAGTGCATCATATGTGATTCAACCTAAAACTAGAACACTTCTTTACATAGTTCCGATACATTCCAATAGTCCAAATGCAGTCAGCTAGTTACGTTTAGCAAGTTCTTGCTTCAAATATCATATACAGAGCATGCATCATATGTGATGCACGGGACGTCTCATTCCGAAGTATCGTGAATCACATACGATGCACGGGACAGTGAACGTGTTAAACATGATATTGATTGGTAAATGTAACTTTCTTTATTCAAATTATTATAAATATATCACATCGACCTCGTCTAGTTTCATTAAAAAAAGAATATTATATACATGTTTTGTCAATATTAATACAGAAAATGTCATTCTACTGTTAATAATTCATCAACGTGCTTTTTATAATATCATCTATTAAATTTTTAACGAATCGCGAGATTCATCCAGTGTAATATAGTAATATTGAATAACGTTATGAAGATCGGGAAAGTTTAAATAAAATATTGACGCAAATAAGTAAAAGTAAATCAGTTACTAAATAAGCATAAAGCCATTGCATTGAACGTTGACGAATTGATGGATACATAATAAACTGAATCCAAAATAAAAGACGATTGATTGTAGCAAGAATACATATATAATTCATTTATTACGCAAAATATACATATATGTTTATGAATAACATATCAAGTGAGAAAACGATTCGAACGAAATTTATTGGATTAAATCATATTGATATGGTTAATTTACAAAATAGAATAAGTTCGTTTCAAAGATCTCATTTAGACTTATACGTCTGTAATTAAAACATTGAAGCAAGCAATAATGCAATTTATTTCTCGTACATTTATGCTCTATTTTCAAATTATTACATGAGAACTTAGCAGATAATCGTTCTTTAATAGAATTTGCATGTATCAAATACAAAACAACAACAAAAGTCTATGAAATTAGATTAAGAAATAAGTAATTTCTATCTGGTTTATATCCAATAAATAAAAAGTCAATATCAATTACAATATTATCGTCAACTATTAGCTTTTACATACTAAATAGAATATTATTATTGCATAATTTCATTATATTTGATAGAGAGTTAATAACTTAGAATTTTCAGTCATACTATGTCAGCGATAAAAAGAGAACAATACTGTAAGTTTTGTAATATGATTGATTCGCTTGATATTAAAGTTAATAGAGTATAGTCAGAAAAAGTACAAGTAAATGTGCATCTATAGCGATAATTAATACGTCTACTTCCGTTTCCGATTATTATGTTTTGTATATTCTATTGCACACTATGATAGAATATAATCTGTTTGATTGTATTTTTTCGTTGAAGCAAAAACATAATTAAAAATTCTATCATCTCTTACAAGTAAAAAAGAATTGTGAATGGATATACTTGCTGTTACAAGTGGTCGAAAAACAAATGTTACTGTCAATGTAAAATTAATTAACAAACCTATAACAATGTTGAGAAAATATTGATGAATTGAGAATGAAAAAAATAAGATCTATATGAATTTTTCTAGTCTAAAATTGAATAATGATCAAAACTATTTTACATAAATCATTTTATTAAAATAAAGATTCTAATTAGTCTATTAAAATTACATATTTAAACAATATTCAACAGATTTCATCGAAATCTATTGGAATTAACAGTAATTCATTAAAAATTTACGTTCTTAATTGAATTTTCTTTTATATAATCATAGAATTACATTGAATTCGAACTATGTTCAATTATTTCATCCGATGGACCTGAAAGCATTATCACTGGAACAGGTACAGATCGTTGTCGTCTTGTTCGTCTATCAATAAAATTACCTGGCCATGTCCAACTATGTAAAAATCTTATATCAAGTGCAGCTATAACTATTGGATCAACTGTTATATTAATATAGTTTAAAATTTGTGCAATACTTCCAATAGTCGTACTCTTATGGTAAAATGGAAATACGAGTAAATGCGGCGACCATAATATTAACCATACCGAATAGAATACACTTGATTGTATAATTAATTGTCGATGGTATTTTAATCGTGCATCAACTATTTGTTGTGTTTGAATACCATCTGTATTATGAATATGACTAAGACTAAGTAAAAGAAAGATTAATGCAAGAGTAACTGGTATAACATATGAAAATAAAAGAAATACAAGTCGAATAGATAATGAAGTAGGTAGAAGATCACATGCATCATCTTTTGGATCATCAAGATTTGACCATCCACCCTTAATTAGAATAATATGACTTATGAGAGGTAAGAAATAAATAAGAATATGAGCAATAATAATACATCGATGATTTAAAGCATAGACATTATGATTATATACGATTTGTAAATAACGACAAATATTTAATGCTAAAAGAATATAACTTTGTATAAGATTAAGATAATTGTCAAAGATTGCTTCACAATAACACATAATAGTACGAAGAAAATAAGGTACACACATTGACCACCAACGATAAGCATAAAATACAAAGAATCGAGTAAGTAAAAGTAAATCAGTTACTAAATAAGCATAAAGCCATTGCATTGAACGTTGACGAACTGTTGGATATATAATAAATTGAATCCAAAATAAAAGATGAACAATTGTAGCAAGAATACATATATAAAATATGGGTTTAACAATTTTAGTAGCTTGTTGAGACCATATAACAATTTCACAATCAGTTTTATTGTTCATTATTGTTTTAAAAAGAAAATGAACAAGTCAATTCTACAATATTAAATATTTAAATAGATTTTTCTATATTATAAAATATAAAAAAAAGTTTATATTAAAGCTATGACAATAGATGAGAACGAGACTATTCAGAACATGAATATAAAATAACTTTTGATCTATTATTAATTTATACTCAAGTTCATCGTGAAGTAAAAGGAATTCATTCTATAATGCGTTCTAAGAATAAATTTATTATAGACTACGTTGTCAGACATAGACTCAAGAGGAAATAACAAGCGGCTTTACTATAACTGATTTATGATCTTCTAAGAATGATATACTAATAACGACATCGATCTCGAAACATTTTTTTTTCTATCATAACCGATAAACTGAATTAGTTTTTTCTACAATATTCATTTTATCTATTTTTAGAAATCTAATTATCTAATTTTCTTTACTAATCAATAGATAACACTCACTTATTTTTCTACTTAGAATTACAAAATGATATTTCATAAATATAACAATATTTTGCTCATATATGATTTCTATCTCTTCCTTATAATGTTATATGCATTTATATTATATAAATTGCCTGCCTGCCTTTCTTTTTTCTTCTTCTTCTTCTTTTTCTTTTAGAATCTATTCTCTTTCTTATTTTTTAATCATCATAATGGATTTATTCGAGTGTGGTATTAGATAATTGAAATAGAACAAAACTGACATGCATGCTTATTTTTATCAGCTTTTATGTTGGATTGTCTTTATCTTAATGAAAGTGCACCTTTGGATGTTCCAAGGGATTACCCCTCTAGCTTTTTAAATATTAAAACAAAGTGATGTTATCATGCAAAGTAAAAAAAAGAATCCACGTTATATCTTAATAGAATAAAACTCATATATATACATCGAGAATTTAAATCTTTTTGAAAATAAATTAGTCACATCGGACACAAAAACACTATTTATGTTATCGATAAAATTATGACATATGTTTTTTTTGTTTTTCAAACCTTTATCTATATAAGGTTTTTATTCGCAATACCTATCTTCGATGGTGACTTCACGCTTGATTAAACCTCATTGAAAATATACTATAGAATCAAAAAAAGTTTCTTTTTCTTTTTGACATACGTTCTTATATATATAGACGTCGACACATGAAATTTATTGCATATCTATCTCAATACATTGAAACATTGTTTATTGTCACTTTTCAACCTTCTCTTCTGATCGATACAAATATTTGTAAACTATTTCAATTTTAAATGTTTTATATTTTATTTTATTTAATTATTATTCTATGTAATAATCTCTTATTAAATACCCAAAAACTTCCATTCGATACTCTTGTAAATTTTGGTGATGGTAATACAGATACTGGAAATGTTTATAATTTAACAAATCATCAATGGCCTCTTGTACCTCCTTATTATCAAGGACATTTTACAAATGGTCCTGTTTGGATAGAACAATTAGGTATTCCAAACATTTCAAATTATGCTTATAATGGTGCTACTATTGATAATGATAACTTAATTGCTGGATATACTCAACCAAATAAAACACTCGTACCTGGAGTTCGTCAACAGATTGTTACTTATCTAGCTAATAATGATATAAGGAAAGTCGATTTAACACGTACACTCTATGTTATCTGGGCTGGTATGAATGATTACCTTGATAATTCAAGTATAACTTCAGATCTAGTAGTAACTAGTCTCATGAATGCAGTTTCTGATTTAACTCTTGTTGGAGCAGAACATATTTTAGTACTAAATCTACCACCACTTCAGGCTTATCCATTTAGTCGTGAAACAAATAAAAATTTATCTTTAAATACACTAGTAACTAATCATAATAGTTATCTTCTATCAAATATTTCACAAGTTAATACTATGTATAATACAACATCGATAAAAGTATTCGATTTATATTCATTAATGATCAGTATCCTTACGAATAATTCAATACCAGCTATAGATAAAACTAATCCATGTTGGAATATAAGCAATGACATCGTTATATCACAATGTTTAATTCCTAATCAATATATTTTTATTGATACTTACCATTTAACAACTACTATACATCAACGTATAGCTGTCAATATTCAACAATTTCTTCGTTCATCTTCATCTAATTTCTTTATTTCTAAATTAATTCTTTTTATACATTTATTTTTTTATCTTAGAAAAAAAAACTAAAAAAGAAAAATAATTTATCTTGTCTTTTCCAGATTAGAAAAAAGATTCATTTTTTGACTCCGAGATATTCTGTACTTATTAATATATGAAGCATTTTTTAAATTAACATTGAAAAAAAGAAACACCTGTCATTGTCAAAGAAAAATGTTTTAATTTGTGCATACATGATAAAATAATCTCTTTTAAAACTTACCTATAAAAACGATGAGTTCAGTCAGTAGATCAAAGCTTGACAAGATGAAATTTATTACTTGAAAAATCCAGTACGTACAAAATAGGAAACAAATTAATATCGTTGATATAATGCAGATCTACTTGATGATTATTTTTCTAAACTATATCCGACATTAAACTATCAAAAAATTAACAAAATGTCAGGATTAATTTGTAAATAGTGCTAGAAATATAGATAATCATGTTCTGCATATATTGATAAAAGTATTTTATATACTTTTCTTTTTCATTTCATTACATTTATATACATTCTATAAAAGAAAAATATGATAATATATATGTCCTATAGTATCATCTTACTTCCTCTTCAAGTAATAAAACGTATTTTAACTGTCATTTCTATTTTATTCTTTTACCATTTCCATTAATGAAAAAGTTATAATATAAGTAACATAAAAAAAATAATATTACAGAGCTTCGTTATGGCATGGAGATAATAAATTATAAGTTAAATATTATTGTATTTGACTAATAATAATTTATATAAAAACGATGAATTCTTCTTGTATGAAGCGATAGTAATCTATATGACACAAAGTGCTTTTAAACTAAATTCTATAAGAAAAAAAATTCTTTGTTAGATACACTTCTCAACAACAAACTGATTCATGAAACTGATAGTTGTTAAATATTTGTCTAAAATTTTTACAGAAAAAAAACGAGACTTTTCAATTGATATAAATATCAGAATATGTCATAAACATCTTTACTGTTATTCTAATTATAATGCAGTGTGAAGCACAGTATTTATATAATCCTGCACCAATTTTCTTCCTTTTTGAATGCGATGTGAGGCAAAGCATTTATGACAAGGGGGAAAAAGCTGATTTAAATCAAACTTAACTCATTTTAAATCACTAAATCATAAATCACTTTTCCCCCCTTGGTTTTATCTATGATATTGATCACTAAAATGGTAGCCATGAAAATATCTGACATCTATATTTATGTTTACTTCGTTTTCAAAAGAATATGTACTCTATTTTACTGACGATAATATGTGTTTTTATCAAGTGTTTCTTTCTTCACAACTACCATTAAAATTGTATTTCGTAATATAAATGAAACTTGTATTTTATTTAGTTAAAAATAATTTTATAAAAGCATAAATGGTTAAATAGATTGATTACAACATTAAAATATATAGTTCAGTCGGTTTCGATCAATATAGTTCAGTGCTATTGAGAGTAAAGTAACGTAAAAATTGGCCAGGAAATATCATTTGGAAACCATCATTTCCACCAGCAATTAATACTGTCCCATTTCCTAATATGGATGCTGTATGATAATATCGTGAGACACTCATGTTTCCTGTACTTGTCCAACTACCGGTTGTTAGATCATATAATTCAGCACTATTGAAATTATAATTAAAATTATATCCACCAGTGACTAATACTTTTTCATCTTCTAATACGGATGCTGTATGAAAGGCTCGTGCGACATTCATGTTTCCTGTATTTGTCCAGCTACCTGTTGTTGGATTATATAATTCAGTGCTATTGAGAATACCATTATCACCAAATCCACCAGTAACCAATACTTTGCCATTTTCTAATATGGATGCTGTGTGATAGTATCGTGCGACATTCATGCTTCCTGTGGTTATCCAATTACCTGTTTTTGGATCATATAATTCAGAGCTATTGAGATTACTATCATCGTTAGATCCACCAGTAACTAATACTTGTCCATTTACCAATATGCATGCTGTATGATAATATCGTGCGACACTCATGTTTCCTGTACTTGTCCAACTGCCTGTTGTTGGATCATAGAATTCAACACTATTGAGAGTTCTACTAGTACCATAGCCACCAGTAACTAATACTTTCCCATTTCCTAATATGGATGCTGTATGATAGTATCGTGCAACATTCATGCTTCCTGCAGTTGTCCAGCTACCTGTTGTTGGATCATATAACTCGGTACTATTAAACGGAGTAGTATCATTGAATCCACCAGTAACTAATACTTGTCTATTTCCTAATGTGGATGCTGTATGATAGTATCGTGCGACACTCATGTTTCCTGTATTTGTCCAACTGCCTGTTGTTGGATCATATAATTCAGCACTATTGAGAGTACTATCAGTACCAGCTCCACCAATAACTAATACTTTACCATTTTCTAATATGGATGCTGTATGAAGTAGTCGTGCAGCATTCATATTTCCTGTGATTAACCATTCTAAATGAAGCAGACAAATGAGAAACAGATATTATTCTTTTTAGATTTCTGAATCAGTCATATACAGAAGTTGTGCATCAGTTAATCATAAACTAAGGATAAGATCCATTTTGAAACTTTAGATCAATTTAAAATAAACAAGAATGTTACACGTTTTTGATTTTTAACGAATAAATTAAATATATGTCTGTAAGCCAGCTAATAATTATGTTTTTCGGCATCTGTGCTTCATTAAACTAGTTTCAATGTGTTCTCAAGCTCAAAACACAAAAACAATATATGGTTTTGTTAAAGATCTAAACTCTAATGGTGCTCTTGTACTACGATTATGTAAACACATATTCACTCTTTGAAAATATATAATATGTTTTGATTGAATAGTTTCTTGAATATATTAAAACTCGATTTATAAAATTAATCAAAAACTATTACTACCGTCCATCGATGATTAAAATATGAATTATGATCTAACTATTATTGTCACTTTCAAGATGATAGTTCAGTTGTATCTATTATTGAGTAGATTTTCAGTTTATCCTATGACATAAACTTAAATTATATGAATTTTTGTTATAATATAGCGGATGGCACAAAAGTTTTGCATTAATTTTGTTTTTGGTATAATGTTGCGATGGAATGTGATAGTGACTTGAACTTTTTTTGTTAGTGAAAGCAGATGATACCGACACTGTTCTTATAAAAAATTGGGTTCCTGCGACGAAAGTTATATAGATCAAATTATCTATAGATATATATTACTATTTTTATATAATATATACTAGTGTCTAAACTAACAATATGTCCAACGACGGGTGGACCCAGATGAATGTCGGATCGGACAATGGAAGGATTCTTTGTCAAATTCGATACTCGTTTAGTCCAACTCGAGAGCGGATGTAATTTTCGTTTAGACGCTAACATATATATTCTCCGTATATGTTTATAAAAGTATGAAAACTTCTACTAGGATCTATCTGAGCCTACGATGGTCTACATGATTTATCAGAGTCTATCATGGTATATTACCGTCTACTATGGCCTAGTCATTATCTTCGGTCAGAGAACACTATAAAATGTTTTGTGGGACCCATAATAGAAAATTTGCGTTGTATTTCTACCCTCGCTCTCAGCTGTGAGGACGCCCTCAGGTGTGTTTCTATCTTTATCCTCATCTGAACATTTGATCCAATGTGGATCAGATTGGGTCATCAAAAAATAGACACAATTTTCTAGTTTCATAGGAAGTGTTCTCTAACACTATTTATCTAAATAAAGAAAATTCGACAGATATAACCAAAACTTCTAGACGTAGTCATCTGAAACATGCATTGCTTCGGCAACTACATATCAACTCGCATATTACGGACCTGCCATTGCTATCGTAGTTGTTGATGACGTTGTTGATATTGACGTTGATGATGTTGATATAGCTGCTGATGATGTAGACGTTGCCTGATCTATATTGAGAGGATGAGATTAAATTCGCTTACTATTATTTTCACACAAAGTATAAATCATTGTAGGACAAAACTATGATATATTTACAGTCTTTACAATAAACTCACTATATTTTGTTGATATTATTGATTGATTAATAAATATCAAAGAAGAATTGAAATTATATTCAATTAAAATAGAACTAATATTTGAATAAAATAATTGACAAGTTTGATTTATTGAAAAATAATTTAATGCAAATATTATTTTATTCGATTTTATCATTTCACATACACATTGACTTTGAGTTACATTCCATAATGATTTATATACGTTACCAACTATTATATTATTCTCTATTTTACCAATAAGAATACAATCACAAGGACGGAGTACCAATATAATAAAAAATATCCAAAACATGTTTCACTGCCGTATACTTTGAGCTTTTTTCTAAGATTGTTTAAATAATTTGTATTATTATTTTCTTTTTTCTCAACTGTCTAGTTTAATATTTAATCATCACAAAAAATAGGTGCCGTATACTGTTTGTTTGAAATATGGCGAACAACGCGTATTCATGGTTACAATATATGCAAAACGAGCAGCACAACAATAACAAAATATACTTGACGAACAGTGAAGGGAATATAACTTTAGCTGATATAACCGTTGTCATATAATTGAAACTAAAATCATTGAATGGAAAGAGAAAAAGTAATAGTATTTTTCTTCATATGTAATAGCTTCTTTTGATTAAACTGTGTTTTGAGTTTTCATCAGATATCATGAAAGAAAGAACGCAAGAAAAAAAAACCTTTTACGAATTAGCAAATTACATTGTTTGCATGTTCAGCAAACACATTTTCATTAACTGTAGATCATTATAGAAATTAGAATACTTTTTCTACTTATTTCCTGTTAAATTTTGCTCTCAGTGAATAAACAGATGAATACAAAGAGATGTATAGTCAGGATTAGCAAATCCATATTTCCTAAATCCAGACGTTTTCATATAAAAACTAGAAGTATACCAGAAGATTTTCTTAGAAAAAAAATCAGAAAACTATTCAATACTATTTTATAGAGGAAAATTGAAATATTATAAAACAAATTTTACAATGTTAATTTTTTGATATCTGTTCATAAACATATAAAATATACAAATAACATTAAAAGGATTTTTCTTACAAAGTAGTTTGAACGAAAAATTGTGATAATAAAACAACTATCATTTGTGTACTGATAATATAATCCACCAAGAAATTTTGAAGATTTAATTATACAGATTTAAAAATGTACATCTTACAGTTGTATGACAAGGTGCTTGGAAAATATAAATATTATTTAAAAAAGCTATTAGAAATAATGCACTAATATTGATATACTCATTTCTTATTATAAATCAATAATCTTTATTTTATACTTAGACGACATAATGTTCTAATCATATATCTATAAGAACAATATTCATTGTAATATGTATTCTAATAGGATGATTTAGTTTTGAGGAAATTGTTCTACATTGAAGAAGTAAAAATTAAAACAATGTTATGAGTGATGTCGACAAACAACATAGAGTTTAATTTTTATATGAAAATAATTAAGATTTTATTTGAATTATATGAAATTGTAAGTAACACTAATTATTTTGTTAATTAAAAGTTACCTCTGGAGTAGATTTAATAACTCAGGACGGAAAATCTCGCTGTTAGATTTGCCTATCAGTAAATACTAAAAAGTACAAGATCCTGTTGAGGAGATTCGTATCTGGAAGGTGAATAAAAATTGTCTTAGAGTGAGCTAGATCAAAGCTCCTTTTATATTTTCACAAAATATAGATGTAAATAATTAGTTAAATATTCATAGTATTTGATTGATGATAAAATAATTTTATTAGTTATTGTTTAGACTATAATAATAGATTCATGAAAATATTGAAAATTGTAATTTCTCTTTGACATATTTCACAGCATCTCATTTTACATTTAAAAATAGATTTCATTCAAGTAGAATTAACATTCACTTATCAATCATCATTTCTTATTACATATAAAATCATTTCACTATTTAAATACACTTTGTTAAGTGTCTCATGTAATCCAACATGTTCGCAAATTGCTTGTTTGTATGAATCGAGGTACGTACGATAATATTTTCCTTTTATACTTGAGTATCGATAAAAAGTTGCACCAGAAAAACATGATCGTACAGGTACTAAATCGATACTACATGGATAGAATCGAAAAAATGACGACCATACTTTATTATGATTTACACTCCATTTTTGATTCTGTTCATCTTTGTGTGCATATGGATCACGATATTTTCTACGACCGAATAGTATATGATTATAGAGGCCATTTGCACAAATTGCATCGATAGTTGGATCTGTGTAGAGATGAAAACCAGTTGAGAGAATCCCATCAACATAGGTGTAACTAATCAAATCAAAGTCTTGTACGAGAACATATTCAAATTGGGATAATTGAGTGTTATCTTCAATATATTTCATATAGATATTTCGCAATTGAACCATCTTTTCAATACGTGATAGATCCGGAGGATGATCGGCTGCAGTACGAGCTAATGATAAGTTACATGGACGATCATCATTAACTTTATTACCACATCCAATAACATGAATTCGACCAGCAACTTTCTTATCTTGAGCCCAACGAATTAATTCACGTCGTGTTCCATCTTTGGAATCGTTCTCCACAATAATAATGACGTAATCAGCAAACAGGCGTGTTATCTCTTCAATTTGTTGACGAATACGAGGAATCTGCATTTCATGATCACGTATCATTCCACAAATAATAACTCGACTACGTGCTAGATGTAAACGACCGGATTCAAGTCTAGTTCTGTTTTTGTGTGAACATTGTAAAGATCGAGGTAGAAAAAAATCATCAGTAGCAGACAATTTTGAAGTTCCAGAGTTAACACGAGGAACAATAGAATATATAAATAAACAAATTCCAGCGATCGAGAGAATAAGAAATCCCCATCGATGGCAATAATAGGAAAGATAAGATTTAATTTTATTCATTGATAATTCTTTGATTTGCAGAAATATTTGGACTTGAAAATATATACAATAATATATTTAAAACTGAAAACTCTAGTATTCAATAATCACATCAACAGTAGTTGAATATTTCAATGGACACTTCTATCATTTAATTCGATTCTGGGGTTTGTCATATATATATATATGTATAATTACCAAACTTTGAAAAATATGAATATTTTGATTTATGAGAACTCCAATAATCGAATGACTGTTTTATTAAGCACATCGTGCTCCCGCATCTAAAAAAAATAACTTGTTTGTTTAAATGAAAGAGAACGTACGACAAACTTTATTTCATTTTCATAACATCAGAGTTGTTCTCTTTCAAGCACGTATCATCATTGTATCGAAAATACTCAAATAATCAACGAAAGAGACGAAATATTTGCTATTCTTCTGCGTCGAGATCAAAATTTTATGTAAAGAAATGAGTGACGCCAATATTTTCTTTCACTATTATTCATATCGAACACAAGTATAATAATCAGAGACTGAATTACACAGAACTGAAAGAAAAAAGAAGGCACCTTTTTCACCGTTTATCATTTCCTTTTGTCGTCTTTACATTCTTAAATTAAATCACACGATAGTATACAAACGATAAAGAACCACAAAATAATTACTTCTTTTTATACATTCCATTAAAGTTGAAAGGAAAAATGAAACATCGATCAATTATATCATTCAGAAATCTCAAGTAATTCTTTTAGAGTAAAAAATATCATAATGCTTGAAATATGAGAAGTTGTCAATTTATATTTTCTCTTTGTGAGTGAATCGCAACTTTTTCGTACAATTGAAATTTTAGCTGTATTTTGTAAATAACTTTTATTGTTTCCAACCTATTCAAACAAACTTCTCAAATGTTACTCTTCTTGTAGCGTCTCAGTATCACACAAAATTTCACTTCTTTAACTTATACAGTTCCTGAGTTATGAGTTTTACACGTGCTAAATAAATAAAAATATCATAAACATCAATGAGAAGGAAAAATGGACATATAAGGGGGAAAAAGCTGATTTAAATCAGACAAAAATCACTTTAAATCACTAAATCATAAATCACTTTTCCCCTCTTGATTTATGAAGTCCACCGTGAGTTTTTTTCCTTTTTTCCCCTAGTTTCTAGACGTTACGCATAAACAACGTGGAAAAATATAATTTTTTTTCATTAATTATGACGTTTATAAGTTCTTAAGAAAAGCTTGTAACGATCGTGAAAATGCTCCGTTCCAAATATGACGTAAATCAGATGAATCAAAAGATTGACACTCGTTGACTAAACTAATAAAGAAACTGATTTGTTGACAATATTTTTATACTTGATTTGAATCATTTTTGTAAAAATTTCCTTTTCAATCGAAGCCAATGCCGATATCAGGGTAGATTTACTGAAATCAAGTCTAAAAGCAATACGATCTCGCATATCTCTACTTACAATTTAAGTAAAATCCTACAAAGATTCTTACAATTATGCCTTTCTTCTAGATTTATGCTCATTTTATTAAATTCTTAGTATATAGTACCATAATACGAAAAGAACTGATGATGACGAATTTTTGTGTGAAATTTCATTCAAGAATAGATCTCAGAGTTTTTATAATAATATGAAAGTTTTAATTCAAATAATCATTCCATTGTCTCTGCAATACTCTCATTCTTACTTCTTATACGATTCTTTGATTTATTTATATATGTTTGTTATTGATAAAAATTGAAATTTTTACAGGCACTTATATCTAATAAACTAATCACTTTACAATTATTTATTGGTGATTCTAGTACTGATCATTTAAATAAAAGCCATAGAAATATGACATCTGTATTCATATTTACTTCATTTTCAAAAGAATATGTACTCTGTTTTACTGACGATAATATGTTTTTTTATCAGGTATTTCATTCTTCAAACTATCATTAAAATCGTATTTTGTAATATAAATGAGACTTGTATTTTATTTAGTTAAAAATAATTTTATAAAAGCATTAATGATTAAATAGATTGATTACAACATTAAAATTTATGGTTCAGTTAAAAAATCAAAATATCGTTCAGTCGACTTCGATCAGTACAGCTCAGCGCTTTTGAGATAAGTAATACCATTATATCCACCAGTAACTAATACTTTTCCATTTCCTAATATAGATACTGTATGATAATATCGTGCGACATTCATGTTTCCTGTAGTTATCCAATTGCCTGTTGTTGGATCATATAGTTCAGCACTATTCAGATAACTAATACCATT